TCAATAACTAAATTCCTATAAAATAGGAAGTTTAGTTTGATGAAAGAAGGAAAGCTTTGAAGACATGTATAGAAGGTTGGCAGCATGAAGTGAACAAATCTAATTGTGACAAGTGGCCTTGACATGGCGCTAAAGGATGGGCCACTTGGGATAGAACACGGCTGCCAAGTTTATAAAAGGAAGTTTCTAGAACTTAGCTACTTTTCAGCAACTTTCTAGCAACGTTTTAGCAATATCTCGGCAACTTACATGTGATTAAATCGAGGAAGGTTGTTTTTACAGAGATTTCCTACTGAAACAAAACAAGAAAGGAAGCAGAATAACGATAGGATTTGACTGAGTTCAAATTGTGAAGAAAAAGAATCAACGAATGAGAGATTTTCTAGCAATAACTTAGGAAAATAAGTTGAGATAGAACTTTTATAAATAGAAGTATTGTATTCCTATTCCAATTTGTCCAGCACCACCACAAAACATGCATTTCAACTAAAATGTTTTCAATTGATTCTACGTCATTTTCCTATCAATTTCTTTATTTCAATTTAATGGCAATTGATTAGATCATTGTCAACTATTTCAATTCAGCCATTTACTTTCTTTCAATTTCAATTATGCCAATTTTAATTACGCAATTTTAGTTAGGCTTTCAATTCAATGGTAATTGATTAAATTCTTGTCATTGAATCATTGTGACAATTGATTAAATTCTTTTCATTACTTGGCTGATGGCAATTGATTAAATTCTTGCTATCACGTTTCAGTGGCGATCGATTAAATTCTTGCCATTGTGTTTGGCTGATGGCGATTGATTAAGTTCTCGCCATCACGTTCGGCCGGCGATCGATTAAGTTCTTTCCGCCTGTCTTCACTCGGCCATTCCATCCATTTAAACATTCATCAGCCGTTGCATTTCTTTAGACACTCTAAAAAGTCCTTGTTACAAACAAGGCATAAAAGAACCTTGCTGGGAGTTCTTACTAGTCTCTCTCCCACACAATCACATGAGAGTCAGCCATCGGAAAAAGGGATAGGCTGATGTTCAATTACATATTTTGGGTATTTTGTACAAATACTCTGGCACGCCCGCGAAGAGTCCATCGACCGGCATAGGGAACAAAAACCGCGCGAACAGCCTCACTTTTGAAAGTTCCTCTAACAACTCTCAAATTTTTTAGAATTTATTGCCTAACAAATTTATAATTATAAATTTTTAATGGATTAGACTTAAATTTGTGAGGAAGATGTTGGAATTGAGTTGAGTGTGGTGACGTCTGATTAATCCATCTTTCCGAATAACTACGTAGTAATTCGTTACCACTATGTAACAATTATGATTTATGACCGAACCTGTTTTTTAATATTTTGAGATTGGCTTAAAGTTTTGTCATTATAAGTATTTAGGACTTTTTCTTTTTCTTTTTTCAAGTAACCTAAAGACTGGGGAACAGTATCGAAATGATGAATTACGGAATATATCATTTTGAGAATTTGTACACATATATATAGATATTTTTTAAGTAACTTAATATCGCAATTAAAATTCAATTGAGAAGATTCAATTGAAATTGAGTTCATATAATTTTTAAGGCATGCTAGGAAATAAAAATACTGAACACTTCCCACCACCGACATTTTCCATAACCTCTATTACAATGTAAACTACCAACAACTTAAAAAGTCCCAAGGCCTTCTAGGTTGTGAATTTCGTAAACATAATTCCCTGCCACACACACAGGAAAAAACAAATAAAACAAAAAAAAAAAAAAAAAAAAAACCTTATGGCAAAATAAAAATTTTATAATTTTAATTAAAAATATTATATAAAAATTATCAAAATAAATTCACTTTTTCAAATAATTGATTAGAAATTTTTTTTGAATATTTAAAATTTTAAATATTGTTTTGAGTAATTAAGATTTTCTCCATGTCTCTAAAGTCTTATTGCAAAGCATATAAGATTTTCTTTAGGAGATCCTACTTTACTCTTTTGATAATAAGGCTAGAGGGAATTGAAGGTGAACTTTTTGAACCCCTTCCTCCTAACATAGAAGAGTCTTTTAAACACTTTGGGAAGTGGCTCACTTTAAGACTTTTTGGCAGCTGCTTTTGCTTTATAGTTTTGTTTACATCCAAAGCAGAAACAACGTCACTACTTTGAAGTGCGTTAAGTACCATTCGAAAGCATCTTTGGAAACTGTGAGATATAAATTTTATAATTGCAAGTTTTGATGTCAAAACCCCAATCAAGTTGTAATTTTCTATTTACTTTCGAGTCTCGATGTTGGAAGCAGAACAATAAGTGCATGCACACTTCGATTCAATGAGAATGTCATTTAGAATATGTATGTTGGTGATGAACACTTGTGAGTATGTTTAAAGTTGGGCAGGAGAACAGAGGGTGGAAATAATACTCAATAAAGTCCAGACGATTGCACTTTATACTTAAACTAGTTACATTTTCTGCATGAAATCTGCTTTCCAAAAAAGTCCATCCGATTAACTTCTGAAAAAAAATTACATTTTCTGCATGAAATCTGCTTTCAAAAAAAGTCCATCCGGTTAACTTACGAAAAAAAAAAAGTCCATCCGGTTGCACTTGTAAGTCTATTCGATTGAAACTCTATATTGTATTTTGATACAAGATATGTATACAAGAGAAATTTATATAGGAGGGGTTATGTGCGATGAACAAGTAAACTCTATATGTATCTAGTAACTATATATATAGTAATCCTATACATGGTTAGAATATATTCTACAATATATTCTAGAAAAAATTTGTACAAATTTATTGTAAATAAAATTTAAAAGTAGGACCATTTTATTTATTTTTATTTTTTATAGGACTCAACTGTCTTAAAAAAAAAGTTGGTAGAGGAAATTTTCGGTCATCTCTTTCCATGGTGTGTGCCAAATAAAAAACACGGTTCCAACATTTATTGACATTTCCCTTTTCTACATATTTTGTGAACCCCTTCCTTCGTCAAAAAAAAAAAAAAAAAAAAAAAAAAAAAAAAAAAATGTAGTAGTTATATATATATATATATATATATATATATATATATTTATATATATTTGATGTGCTTTTATCAGTAGTTTCCTCGCAACATACATTTTTAATAGAATTATTGACTTCTTTATGGAACACTTGTTAGTTTCCAATATTTGTCGGCTTCAGTCTCGGCTTTGTTTACTATTTCAACCTTTCGTTATTTTTTAACCGAATAAAAAAGAAAAAAAGAAATTTCAAATTGCAATGAATAAAGACAACCTTGGTTTAGGACATAATAGCAGTGAATTCGCTGAGTCAGACGTATGAGCAATATTTAGTGGGTACAAGTCTTCTTCTTCCTAGCAACATCTTTTTCTCCAACTGGTTGTATTTTTCCAAATGTGTGAAAAATCAAATTTTGGTAATTTTAATCATTCACTCAGAATTGCCAAACGCGTTAAACTTGTACCCAATTTCCCCTCTCTATCTCATAACTAGTAAACACTTTCTCTCTTTTGAAACATACATGCACCCCCTCTCTCCCCTCTAATATATTAAGTGGATACACGTCGCCTTTTTTCTCGAAACATCTTTTTCTCTTAAGTCCAACCGGTTGCAATTTTTTAAATGTGTGACAAATTATATTTTGGTAATTTTTTTATTTCTTATTTTACCCAAACTTCTAAGGCTATCCTTGCACAATTTTAAAACCTCTTTTTACCTATATAAGCCTATATAAACTCTCCTTCCATCTTAATTAATTATGGTTTTTAAAAAAATTATTTTGCTATTGAGAGCTTTCTAAGAGTATTTTTGACCTATATTCTTTATTCTTTTCAATTTACATGGGGTGGATTACAAAACTGGTTTTGTTTCATTTCTAAAGTTTCTTAAATTACAACCTAGTCATACTTTTACACCTTAAAGACAACTTAGTCATATTAAATATCATTAAGACAAAAAAAAGTCGTAATTTTAAAATTTATCTCTTGAGAAAATTAGAACCTAGTTATTTGCAATAAATGTAGTTACATTGATTATCTAATTCGATTTTAGACACGCATCACTAACAAATTCGATTTTGGACACCCACAAGTCCAATAACTCACGTTAGCCTCGTAACAAAAACAATCTTTATTTTTTCCAAAAACAAACAACTTCTTAGTTGTTATGCAGCCGAATTTGAGTCACAAACCCCGGTTTTGCTAAATATTTAATTAGGGCAGAAGTTTAAAAATGCAAGTCCTCGAAAGAACAAAAAAAAAAAAAAAAAAATCACAAATTTTAGATCTAGGTTACTCGAATGTGCCTAAAAGCAATTTCTAAAGTTTTCTTACCTGAATGGATTTTAAATTCTTCAAATAAAATTTGGTTAAAAGTCATAATATATACCTTAAAGACACACAAACCCTAAAATTCACAAAAGTTTAGGTCCAACTCTCTTAAGAAAAAATATTTGAAGATGTTTTAAAATTTACGAACTTAGATGACTTAAAATTGTTCAAAAATCACAAAATTATTATGTTTAAATGAAATAAATCCTAGATTTCATAAATTTTAGGTCTAGACCAAAGTAGTCAACCAAAATAGATAAATATTTTAAAATCGGATATATTTTTATTGGATAAATTTAAAGTCATGTAGTTCACCACGAAGGAGGTAGAGGCTTTCAGCTCAACAATTCAATAAACAGGTTTGAAATTTGATGAAGGGACTTTCTTTTTGTTTTGGAATGGTTTGGTGATGCAGCTTTCCACGTGTGTAGTATAAAAAATGTTAAACTTTTAGTAACGAATGAAAAAATGTAGATGGGAATCGATTGTGTTAAAAGAGTAAGTGGAGGTAATTATTGGCTTGTCTCTTTCCATGGTGGGGGCAAATGAAAAACACGGTTCCAACCTTTATTGACTTTTATTTACGCGTTTTGAACCTTTTGTGAACCCCTTCCTTTGTCTAAGTTGAGAATAATAATCTTTTGAACCCTTGAATAAAAGGTTGAATGTAAGGTAGTAATTATATATATATATTGATGTGCTTTTTATCAGGCAGTTCATCGATGACAATGGACGATGAGCAAGTTATTGAGTTCGAGTATTTGGATGATATGATCTTGGAGTATCTTTTTAATCATGAAGAACTACGCAAGATCAAGAATTTCAAGAAAGATTGGCTGAGTAAATTGTCTTTCCGGCGCCCGTCGTCGAAAAGAGAGCTGTGGGCATTTTGGAGTGAGCCGACTCTCTCTCCTTGCAGTAAGCTGCTTTTCTCTATCTCTATGTCTTTTTGTCACCCTTAATTTCTCACCTTTTTTTAAAAAAAAATTATTCACTGAAAAATGAAATATGTATATAGTTGGCATGGAAATTTAATTCAATAGCAGCTTAGCTTAAGAAATTCAATCTTTATCTCATGTGTATATTATATTTTATCTAATAATAAAGTTGTTGGATTGAACGGTGTAGGTGGTGGTAGTATTACGGATTCGGCAACTCACACACCCACCACAAATCAACCCATCATTACAGACATCATCAAATCTGCCCTTCTACACTTCCATCGAAGTTGTTATGATGATGTTCGACTTCTTATACAGTTTTGGGCACCCATCACAACAGAAACAGGGTGTGTCCAGCTTGTTACTTCAGATCAACCTTTTGCTCTTACTTATCGTCTTGATGAAGGACTTCTTAAGTATAGGAAGCAGTGTTTGCAATACAAATTTAATGTGGATGGGGATGGGGAAGAAGTAGAAGGCCTTGGAATCCCTGGCCGTGTTTTCCGCCAAAAATGGCACAAGTATCTACCAGATGAGCGACATTACTCTACCAAAGAGTACCCACAGCGTGATTTTGCTCTAGCTTGCCATATTTCGAAATCTTTTTGTTTTCCGTTGTTTCAAACCTCTTTCCAGGAATGCGTTGGAGTACTTGAGTTTGCTGCAACTAACATTATCAGTTTATACTCGACGTGTAATTCGTTTATCAAGGTTTGGTGATCAGATATGAATGCCATCATATTTGGAGATGATAGATATGACTTTACCTTTTCATTAATTTAAACCTTACTAAAATTATTCACTTTTTCTTTCTCTTGCAGCTTGCGGGTCTGAAAACTTCTTGGTGTGATGGATATGATTGTATTAGTAAGGTAAGTTAGAGCTGTAATATCCAAATGTGAGATTTGGTACTTTTATATGTTTTCACTACTCTCTTCTCTCATCCACAAATGTCTATACCAGGGTTTAGATACAGATGATCATCCAGATATATGGGATGAAATCGAAGAAGGGTTGGAAGTGGTGTGCAAAACTCACGACTTACCTTTGGCTAACACATGGATTCCGTGCGGGCATTTCAATGGCTTGGCCTTTGATGGCAATTTGGATAATAGCTATGATACGTTTGATGTAAGCTGTATGGGACCAGCCTTTCACTATGTATGTGACGCATCTTGTATTCTAGATGGTGAGCTGAATGATTTCTTTGATGACTGGAATGATTTTCAAAGGGGGCATGGAGTTGTTGGGAGTGCATATCAGTCACATAAACCGTGTTTCTGCAAAGATATAACTCAATTCAGCATTACCGAATACCCCTCCCTGCCCTTTCCACACGCTTTTGGCTTAACAGGTTGTTTCGCAATTTGTTTGCAAAGTATTTTTTCCGACAATTATGATTATATCATAATAGAGTTTTTTTTGAATCCTAAAAACACATATGGTGAAGACCCAACTACCTTCTTGTGCCCAATATTAGAAACAATGAAACAACATTTCCCAAACTTTAAGCTTGCTTCTGGAGAAGAACTCAGGAAGGAATTATCCATTGAAGTTATTAAGCCTCGCATGAATCAGGAGCCTACTTCTTTTCAATGCCAAAGAACTTCATCTCCATCTAATAGGCCTGGTGCCTTACAAAATGGACAAGAGATGATGCAGCCACATTCATCAAATCAACAGCCAATAGTTGAAGTTGATGATCTCAACAATGACTGGCATGTTGTTGATGCGGAGCAAAACAATGGACAAGAGCAAAATAACGTTCCCATTACTCGTCCAGATGAGGCATGCATGAATCACGAACCTGATTTTTCTCAATGCCAAAGTTCTATATCTCCGCCTAGGCTTGAAGTCTCACATAATGGGCAAGAGACGACGTGGCCAGATCCACCACATCAGCAACTAACATATGAAGTTGAAGTTGATGATATCAACGATGGAAGGAATGTCAATGCAAATTCAATCACTTATGAGAAGCTCGAAAAACATTTTGGGAAGAAACTTGAATATGTTGCACAGATTTTTGGTGGTAAGCTTATACACTAATTGAAATTATTGTTTGTGATCTGCTCTATTTTCTACTTTTGAGTTTCTTCTAATAGGAATATTAGTTTATTCTTTTGCACTTGTAACTTATATGAGTTTTTGTTATTGAATTCTTATTTTTGCAGTGAGCCGATCTACATTTAAGCGTATGTGCCGAGACAATAAAATTAATCGCTGGCCGCGGAGCAAGAGAAAAAAGGTTGAAGGCTCTCCCTCTAGACGAGAACCTCCATGTTCTGATTTGCCTACTACGAAACTCGTGACACATCACATGACTCCGCTTGTAAGACCACCACCAGAGGCAAGGACGATGACTATAAAGGCAACCTATGCAGATGATCTGATAAAGTTTCAATTACCTTTTTCGTCATCAATGGTGGACTTAGAAGAGGAAGTTTCCAAGAGGTTGAAGTTCCATGTTGGAACTTACAAGATCAAATATACAGATGATGATGGTGATCGGGTCTTAATAGCCTGCGACAAGGATTTGCAAGATTGTATGAATGCTTCTAATTCATTGGGCACGAATACAATCAAAATGTTCATTGAGCCAATTAATAGAATATCTCCTTTAGCCTAACTAGTTATGTATGTAAGTTCCTAACTATGTGTTGATACAAAGTAATCAAATTGTTCTTCAGTATGTATTTGTGTAATTTTTTCTTTTCACCAAGAAATATACTCCCTCCGTCCCATAAAAAGTGTCACTTTTAGGGAACTGTGACTCTCACAAATTGAACTGACACGGTTCTCTAAACACAACACTCTTTGCGGGACGGAGGGAATATATCAGTAGTTTCTATGTTCTAACTTTCCACTTTGTTCTCTAGTATTGTCGGGTCTTCTACTTGTGCAATTTTGTATTTCAAAGTTTGCGTACATTTCAGATTCTAAAAAAATTTAGGAAGGTCATTTCCGATTCTAAATTAATTTTTTCATTTGATGAGGTAATTAGTTGTTGCAGATATACTTCCATTGATTAGAAGGTAGTAGGCACAATGACCATGGAAGCTTAATTTGGCTCAATGACTCACATCGACCTTCTTTTTTAAAGGTAAAAACGTACTACTAAACTACGAGTCTAGGGTCACCCTTTAAATTTATTTTTTTGAACAAACAACTTTTTATTTGTTAAGCAGCCAAAATTGAGACACAAACCTCGGTTTTCTTAAAGATTATTTCAAAAGCCAGAGGTTTAAAATGCAAGTCCTCAAGTTTTCATAGATGCTAATAAAGCATTGGAATTCTTAAATTCTAAATATCATAAAATCATAAAAGGCTTTCGTAAAAAATGAACTCTAAAAAAAAAAAAAAAAAACAACATAAATTTTAGGTCTAGGTACTTGAAAGTACCTAAAAAGCAATTTCTCAAGTTTTCTTAAATTAATGGATTTTAAGTTCTTCAAATTAAAAGTCATAAAATACACTTTAAAGATACACAAACCCTAAAATTCACAAAAGTTTAGGTCCAATTCTCTTAAGAAATAATATTTGAAGATGTTTTAAAATCCACAAACCTTGGATCACAAAAAAATTGTTTAATATGTTGGTCTTTTTTTGGGTACTCTGTTTTGGTTCATCACTCACCATTTGCGGGTTGAGAATGGGTTACTGACCCATTCATACCCAACCAATTCAAAACCCGTCCAAACCCACCCAATTGCCACCCCTAGTCCGGCCCCATCAACCCTTCAAGCCCCACAATGACAACGACGACAACCAAGCTTAAAATGCAGAGGACCTTCATTGAAGCCTTGATTTCTCTATCCCAATAGTAGCATAAGGTGGCTGTGATTCTCATGCTAGAAACAATTCATGATTTACCACTAAAAATACCCGCATTAATACCATAACTTTATTCATACCTCCTAAAATCGTCTTCATCCTTCCGATATTTTTTTTTACGAGAGAACATACAAACAAGACACAGTAAGCACTTTTTTAATATTATACAAGAATTTGAAACTTGACAGAAGAAAATGACAATGGTAAGCAGAACCCCCTTATTAGTAAGGTTGCTGAGCAAGCATTAGCTGCACTAGGAGGCATTAAATAAGGGACATTCACAAAATTCTACTGTAATCTAGACCAGCAAGGTGACAAACCTATAATTCAACCCATACCAGGAAACCCCACAGTATCAGTCTTATTCCAAGGACATTACCAAGTTCTAGACAGAAAGAATGAAGATACCATTACCGTAACCTTCACTGAGAAGGAGAAGATTCTGCAGGAAGAAACTTGAGTGAAATACTATTAACACAATGACGTTCATTCGTTGGAGTAGGGAACCCTTCACCTTTAAATACATGACCTAGATGCCCACCACAAGCGGCACACGTAATTTCAATCCTCATTCCATCTGGGTCCGCCTGAGAGCACAAAAGAATGTCATTAACTATAAAAGCAAAATTAATACAAGAAGGTACTTTTAAGATGAGATAAAGAAGTTGGACAAGTAAAATAGAAAAGCATGCTCACGGTGCGATTTATTGCTCCGGGGAGACCCTCATAGAAAGCTGGCCATCCACATCCAGAGTTAAATTTAGTAGTGGACCTGTAGAGAGGAGTACCGCATCCTGCACAGTTGTAGACTCCCTCACCAAAGAACTTGTCATACTCTCCCGTGCCTGGGTACCTGTACATACAGCAAATTATATATAACCAGGTAAGAAACGACAAGGTTTGGCTGTTTCAGCAAGAGTTATTTAGAACAAAAAAGGGTTTGATGAATCTCATTTTAATCTCCAAGGCATCAAACAAAGATGCAACAAACATTTAAATCTTACAATGGCCAATTCAACACAACCACCATAAGATTCCACATTGTTCATTTCTTTTCTTTACTTCCTGCGGGATGAAACAGCGCTTGATATTTAATAATATGAGATAACAACTACAGTTGTAAAAAAAATGTTCTAGTAATAATAGAAGAGTATATGTGGATGATTGAGATTGCAGTCCTATCACATCCAGCAGTGGAGCTTTTTTTCTAGACATGGACAGAAAAAGTAAGTGGGGTACTTTATCTCTTCCCTCCCAGCCGGGAATGGCGCTCTGCGTTCTATCTAGGATCCACTATTACATACGCCCCACCTGACATAAGAAGGGGAAACTCTTCAATAGAAGAACCAGTGTGAGTGGGAAGGAATTCCATCATTCATTCATTGGATAGTTGGTACATTCATTCCAGAGGATACATTTTATCCAACTTCCTTTTCAGTTTTTTGGCTCTCTTCTCACGTCTCTGAAGACAAATAATTAGCGAAATTTCAAGATTTCATACTTTACATCAAAGAGGGCAATCGAAGGAAGGAAGCAGACAGAGAGAGAAACAAAGAATGGCCTTACCTATTTAGTCTACCATGAACTTATATTTTAGGGTCTAACTCAGTTATTACTGGAAGAAATTTTTTAACCTTTGCTTAGACGAAAGTTTGGCAAGGGAGGTATGATGTTGTCTTCCCATATACATCGTTGCCTGCATATGTCATGGCACTGTTTTATGCTTATCAGTATATTCAAGCTGTATAACTTCGATGGAAGCTATAAATTCACCGAAATAGATCAGCACATCAATGCATTTGATGCTTCGTTCTTCTTTAACTTTTATTTAAAAATAAATGGTCTAGACTCTGGACTCTTGTTCCTGAACTGATAATCTCTACTCACATCGTCAGAAAATCCAGTAGGAGCTCTTAAATTGGATTTCACATACAACCTCCACTTTTTCCTTCCTCCTCTAGCCGCTTGGTATCCAAATTCTTCCCTATATGTAACTTATCGCGTCAGGCATTATGTACTTTTACTCATAGAACAGAGGAAGAAATCAAATTTCTTAATCCAATATGAACTCAATATAGGCATGACCTGATTTCGGTAACTTATCATGTGATTTCTAGCAATAATGGAGATATCTTGACGGTATATCAGATCCTATTGATTTATTGCATAATTCCTACAATTTTTCACAAGATTATCGATAACATCCTGAAAACCTCAATAAAAAACATATGCTCAACTCAAACCACATTCATTTTCAGAATGCAGAGATAAAAAGGGGATAGAAGGTGGGGGGTGGAAGACTCAAGACCCTAGTCTATAAAGAAATGACAAAAAGCATCCACCTATATCACACAGGCTCTATACGTGTGGGTATGTGCCTAAGCATCAGATTTTCAAAAGCCAAAAACCCAAGGACAGGGGAGAACAATTAAATATTCATATTCTTTTAATATTCATCTTTTATGAGTAAAATGGTATATTAATGTAACATATAGTTTTCAAAAGAAACATAATACCTAATATTGTTTTATGACCAATTACATAATGAAATTGAATTACCTGACATGTAAAATATATATAACCCATTCTCTATATTCAGGGTCATCGATTTAAACACAGAAACCTCATGCATTTAAAATAGGTCATGCAATATAGTCCATCTCTTGAGCCAGTAACTAAACTATGTTCGACTTCTTACTCATCCTTGCCTTAATCACACATGAATTGGGTCGCCCATATGAATTCTCTCTTTCCAAATTTTCTATTACATGCCAATTCACTTACTATATTTAACTTTTTCAGAACATTTTTAATAACCTCATCCCATGTTATTTTTGGCCTCCCTCTCCGTCTCTTACCTTCTATTACAACTATTTTCCTCGTTTGACAAGCGCGTCACTACGTCTCCGATATTGACCAAATCATCTGAGTCTACTTTCTCGATTTTTCTCACCAATGGGAGCTACACCTAATTTTCCTCTCACACTTTCATTAGTGATCCTATCTCTTCTAGTCACTCGACTCATCCATCTTAACATTCTCATTTCAACTACATAACGGCGTTGTTCTTGTTTCTTTTTTAGGGCACACAACATAGTTGGTCTAATAACAATCGTATAGAATTTTCCTTTTAGCTTATGTGTTATTTTTTTATCACATAAAATCCCACTAGCATGTCTCCATTTTGTCCTACCCACCCCAATTCTACTAGTTTCATCACTATCTTTCCATCCATTTGTATTATCAATTCTAGATACCAAAAGTGGTAGTTTTGAGTAATCCTTTTGTTTTGAAGTGCTATCATTATATTATTAATGTTCCAATCTTTATTAAATTTGCATTCCTTAACTAGGTTTTAGTTTGACTAATTATCAACCCTTTTGATTCTAAAACATTTCTCCACGTTTCTAGTTTTATTGCTAAATTCTCCTTAGAGATATCCAAAAGCACGATATCATCGGCAAACATCATGCACCATGGAATCTTGTTTTGGAATTCTTTTGTTATTTCATCTAAAGATTATCGCAAATGGATATGGGCTTTGTCCCAATCACTTATTTATATAATAGAATTCTATTCTTGGATAAGAATTTTTTTTCACGTACTTTCTTTATAACACCCTTTTCAATACCATACAAAAATATTATGTAATAAAAAATCAATAAATTTTAAATTTTACTTTCTTTAATTTTTGTAACACCTTTTTAAGTATCCTACATAACAATTTAACAAATATTATGTAATCCAAACCCATATATTTTCAATTTTACTTTCTTTAATCTTTATAGCACATTTTTCGATATCCTACATAAATGTTATGTAATCCAAAATTTAAATATTTTAAATTTTCATCAATTA